GTTGAGTGGATTTGTGGTGAGCCAACATGAATTGTTCTTTTATATGGAAAAAATGTACCCGTAAGCACATCTCTACGAATGTTGTCAGGAATGTGTTGCGGTTTTGGAAGTCTATGGATTCTGTCGATCAGTAATTCAGACTCCTTTACAGGAGGTATCACAGCTTGCATTAAGTTGCATGCAATTGTTGTAATTGTGCTGCGTGATGGTCTCAGGAATGTTAAGTATCTTTACATTGTTCCTTCTTGACCTATCCTCCAGATCGGCTCCCTTAGCTTTTAGCCATTTCACTTCATCATCCTGATTGTTGTGTGCATCTACTAGTGTATTGTATGAGGAAGCAAACTTGCCCATCTTTTGCTCCAAGTGATCCACTTTCCCTCTCAGCTCTTGTACTTCAGTTTTGAAACTCTGCATGCATGTCATCATATCTTTGTGAACTGAACTTAACTGTGCAGAGAGACAAGCATGTCTCTGAGATTAGTATCTGAGACAGGCTGATCACTGGTGGAGAAGGAGTTAATGGTGGCTACTTTCTCTCTAGTGACTTCTAGGGAGTTGTGGTCTGTGCTCACCTCTTCTTCAGGGCTTCCGTTCATGAGCTGCAGTTTGGACTTGGCAGGGCACCTGGACAGAGGAATGGAGGTGAGAGGGTGGCTGAGATCTCATCAATGTGCTGGTATTTTGTGGGCTTTGAGAGGCCAACTGGGAGCTGCTGGAGGAGATACTGTAGGTGAGCAGCCACTGGCGCCATCTTGGGAGCAGCTCCAGTCTGCAGGAGGGAACAAATGTGACAATTTCTTTGGTTTCAATTTCACTTTTTTCCACTTGCGGTCATTTTCCCAGTCTGAGTGGTGGATTAGGCAGCTGTTAGTGGGGTCACCGCTGGCAAGAGGCTCCTGTGTTGCTGTGGATTCCCATAACTGAAGTAAAGGTGAGGGATTAAACCACCATACTGCAGCATGGTCGCCCCCTGTTTGCTTTATTTTTTATATACTCTGAAATTATATTTCTGTTTGTTTCTGTAAGTTACCATTGTTTATTTCTTTGATTACATTATTTCACCACTTTTTACATCATACTCTGCTGTAACTTCCTTACACCTTTGTTGAAGTCTTATTCCATTTCATTTGCACTTTAATGCATTTTAAAGTACTAAAATGCCTTAATATCTATTTTACATAAACTGATCAGTTATGTTCCAAAATTTACACAATTGCATGAGTGTGAATTTCACATACATATACTGCACAAAGACACATGAAGTGGTAAACTACTGTATTGCACTATTCCATTTCTTCAAATTACAGTGACCAAGCAAGCAGTGCAAAGTGCAACACCCATCCTATTTAGCCTTTCAAGATTAGTTTCCATTTGCTCTTTGATAAACTGAAAGTTACATAACTACAATGTTAAAAAGGTGCAAACAAGTGGCTGATCAACTTTCATGTAAGTGAAGTGTAAATTTTTCATCTTCACATTTCAAGCTACTTGAATTTCAGGAGGTTGGTTGATTTATATTTCAATACTTTCCTGTAATAATATACTGTAAGAGTGTAAAAAAAGTCACTCTGTATGTACTGTAATTGAAGAGTACCTGTTCTATGATAAAGCAAGAACTTGTAAAAGTAAACTCCCAGTTCCTTTTCAAAAAAACTATTTGTCTAAAAGAAAGTTTCCAAATTTAGCAGACATAGAAATTCACCTGAGAAGCTCTCATCCAGCTATGCAGTTTGTATCTGTCTACATTACCTTCACTACCTTTGCTGGGTCCTTCTGCAAAGCATACTTCACTTCAGAGTCCACACACCTGAATCAGAATCCCTTCATAAGCTTAGGGATTCTGTCCAGCTGTAGGGCAAGGGTAAGCATGCCCACAGGTCTACAAACATCAGTAGGCATCCTAAATGGTCCAGCATCCTGTTTAAGGGAAGTATGTGACCCACACAGGTTGCCCATTGTGGAGTTTGTTTCCTTGGGGTTGTGGAGCTTCCATAAATGTTATTACTGGCCTTCCTCATCCTTCTCTTTTGTTCTATTTTTAAATTTTGGCTCTGGTTACCTTTAGTAACAACTTTTGGCAACAGATCCTGACAATACTGCTTTCTCATCCTTTGGCACTGACTCCACCCCATCTGCTTCATATTTCCCAGCTCTTCCCTGCTGGTGAGGGATCGCCTTGTTAAGACCAGATAATCCAATGCTTACATTCTGGGAGATACCAAGTACCGTTACATACACATGACCTTCACACCCAACAGGAAGTCAGCAGTAAGTAGCAAAATGTCCCGTCCCCCCCCACTGTTATACTAGCTTTAGCTCATATATTTTCAGTTTTTAAAAACTTCTAAAATGTTTACTTATTTATCCTTACCTGATAAAAGCTTGAATTTATGCAGACCAGTATGTAATATGTTTACCGCCATTTAATCATTCATAATATAAAGGATGAAGACAGTAGTTTATACATGGGCCAGCTTTTAACTGATTTGGAAACTTGGTCATTCAACAAAGACAAATATTGTAAAAGTGTTTTGTATTTATTGTCAACATAAAGAAAAACAAATCGCATTTGGAAGGTGTATCTGCCCTGTTGCCATGTTTGGTTCTCACTTCATCTAGATATATAAAATTATGAAAAATGGATACATTGCTTTAATGGTGTCAAGTAACAAGTGAAACACAGACTCTGGCTATGAGCCATTCCTGTTCTGCAAATGCCTGATAAGTTATGTAGAATAGAAGCCAATAGGTACTTTATACACATTTGCTGATGGTGCCCAGTGTTAGCCTTTTAAGGTACTATTTCCAGCATTATAGAAACTGTATCCAGAGGCTACAGATTGTTAAGTAGATATTTGGATATGAAACAAGCTCTATGAAGACTATCCAAGCGCATTATTTACTTACATAGTGTGTACTTATTCCAGAGTACAAATTGCAGGTAAATGGAAAGTATAACATTCCTGACAAACAACAGTTGTGAAGAAGCAGAAAAATGATTGCTAAATAGTATGCTGTAAATCTAGGAAACTAGGTGGAAATCTTGTGTGACCTATCAAAACCATCAACCTTGCAACAGGAAAATATTAAATATATGGCTTTCTTTCCACCTTTGAAATAAAGCAGTGTATATCAAAATGCTGAATATGTTTGTCTGGACAAATAGTTAGGATGTGAAATCTCTGTCAGACAGTACAGTTTAGTTATGTGTAAAAACACAATGGGGGAGGTTTACTAAAACTAGTGCACACAAAATCTAGTGCAGCTCTGCATAGCAACAATCATCTTCTAGGTTTTATTTTCAAAGCTTAAAGTGTTTAAACCCACAACAGTAAAATCAGTCTGTACATGCAGTAAAGCATGCTTGTTATACTCACTGTGGAAACTAAGGGGTTAATCCTCTGCATTGTGTAAAAAGGCTGTTTGATCCTTTCTTCTCTGTTCCTCCCCTTTTTCAAGCTACCTCCACTTATCTCGAAACTAAATTGTAGGCATGCACATGCTCAGTTTGGTATATATTGCTAGAGAGGTTTTTTTTTTCTTGGGAGAGTGCATATGCTCAGAACAGGGCCAATCACCACTGTCAAGACAGAGGGTCAGGGGATTTCCATCCTTCTAGAGCAGAAGGAAAAGTCCTACAAGCTTTAGCTAGTGCTGGGCTGGACACAGATAGAAGCCACAAGACTGCTCTAACTACTGAGGAGAAAAAGTATTTAGCAGTTTATATTTACCAAAAAAATTGCACTTCCATGTTCTGTGTACTGTGGGAGACAAGATACAGTGGATGCAGGGTCATTGGTTTAGTAACACGTTAAATGAACACGCTAAAGTTAGAAGCTGATTGGTTACTATGCACAGCTGTACCAGATTCTGTGTGCACCAGTTTTAGTAAATCTTCCCGAATGTTTAGCATGTGAGTAGAGATGTCCCAGAGCAGGTTTCTTCATCTCATTGTCATCTTACTGATGACAAAATCATTAGTACATGTACCTTTTGTAGCTCTTTTGCAACCTTTTTTCAGTTGGGACATGTTGTTTGGTTTCACTCTGCCAGTTACCCAGTGTATATAATAGCTACATTCTGGTTTGCAGATTGAATTATCTGCCATGCATTGCTAATATTAACTGGCATAGGGATGTTTTGCTCCCCCTCACATCAGTACGCCAGGATAGTGCAGACCCTCCAATTCATATTCTTAAATTAATAATGGTAATGTTTAAATAACTGCTACATCATGATACACTATATTGCCAATAGTATTAGGACGTCTGGCTTTACACGAACTTTAATGGTATACCAGTTTTAGACTGTAGGGTTCAATATAGAATTGGCCCACCCTTTGCAGCTAAAACAGCTTCATATCTTCTGGGAAGGCTGTCCACACGGTTTAGGAGTGTATCTATGGGAATGTTTGACTATTCTTCCAGAAGTGCATTTATGAGGTCAGGCACTGATATCGGATGAGCCTGGCTTGCAGTCTCCTCTTTAATTCATCCCAAAGGTGTTCTATCGGGTTGAGGTCAGGACTCTGTGCAGGCCAGTCAAGTTCCTCCACCCCAAACTCGCTCATCTATGTCTTTCTGGACCTTGCTTTGTGCACTGGTGCGCAGTCATGTTGGAACAGGAAGGAGCCTTCTCTAAACTGTTTCCACAAAGTTGGGAGTATGAAATTGTCCAAAATGTCATGGCATGCTGACACCTTAAGAGTTCCTTTCACTGGAACTAAGGGGCCAAGCCCAACCCTTGAAAAACAATCCCGCACTATAGTTCCCCGTCCACTAAACTTTACACTTGGCACAATGCAGTCAGGCAAGTACAGTTCTCCTGGCAACTGCCAAACCCAATCACGTCCATCAGATTGCCAGACAGAGAAGTGTGATATCACCACTCCAGAGAACACACCTCCACTGCTCTAGAGTCCAGTGGCGGCGTGCTTTACACCACTGCATGCAACGCTTTGCATTTCACATGGTAATGTAAGGCTTGGATGCAGCTTCTCAGCCATGGAAACCCATTCCATGAAGCTCTCTATGCACTGTTGTTGTGCTAATCTGAAGGCCACACAAAATTTGGAGGTCTTTAGCTTTTGGCCTCTGCAGACAGTTGGAAACTTCTGAGCTCTGTGCCCTTTAGCATGCGCTGACCCCGCTCTGTCATTTTACGTGGCCTACTACTTCATGGCTGAGTTACTGCTGTTCCCAGTTGCTTCCACTTTGTTATAATACCACTAACAGTTGAGTGTGGAGTATTCGGTAGCAAGGAAATTTCATGGATGGACTTATTGCACAGGTGGCAACCTATCACACTACCATGCTTGAGAGTGACCCATTCTTTCACAAATGTTTGATGAAGCAGTTTGCATGCCTAGGTTCTTGATTTTATGCTCCTGTGGCCATGGAGGTGATTGGAACACCCGAATTCAATGATTTAGTGGGGTGTCCTAATACTTTTGGCAATATGGTGTATGTTTGTGTTGTTCTGCAATGAAGAAATGAGTTGGCAAGGTCAATTTACAGATTAGTCATCATCTCTGCTCACTTTGCTCTTTCCTCGTGTCAGCCTCCTCCCTGTCAGCATGTAAGCATGCACCTAAGCCTAATTAGCTCCTAGTACATCCTAGTGGCATTGCTAGGATTGTGTCTTAAAAAGGCATGCTTAGATAGAACTTGAGCTTAATTGCTATATATACTTCTGGGAGCTGCTTTGCATTGGATGACAATGGCTGAAAAAAATATGAAAAAAAACCTTTCCCCCTGCAAGTTAAGGGCATATTGTGCTAGTATGTGGGGCCTGGATTACGTCACCATGTCCATATGGAATCTGATTTACGATCTTGGTAGCATACAGTGGTAACTATGAATATTGCAACATTAACTCACTGATTGTATCCCTCGGTGCAGGAAGGCACCTTACACATGTGAGTGCAACATATTGGCTGGTTTTATAAATAAAGTGTATTAAGGATAAGGCACTATTTGTAAGTTCTTTACATGTTATGGAGCAGAGTTGAGAGGAGGAGGAGATTTGTATGAAACATTAGATCCATAACTGGAGAGGAGGAATCAGCTTCTGGTCCTGGTGGCAGGATTATAAAAAGCGCTGTTGACCAAACACCTGGTGGGAGGTCATTTTTTTAAGGGGAGAGTCCACCTGGTGATAGTTTGGCACTGGAATTAATGCTGTATTTGTACACAGAGGTGAAGTTTTGGCTGAGAATCACGTTGATCACGACAATGGCCTCTTCCCCACAACCCTGGTCCAGTGGTTGTGGAGGTGTGTGGGTGGAGGCTTATCAGAATCTGGAACCCCCCCTCTAAAAAGGAAGGGCCTCCAGATCCCCCTCCTCACATGAATAATTAAAGGGTACATAGTATGTGGGGGAATCTGGGGGTATCTAGTATCATTCACACAAAGTGTAAATAAAATGTAATTGAAGACACATATTTTTATAAGTCCTTTGTTTAACTGCTACAGGGTGGCAGCGGTGTACAAAATCACGTATATATACACGTGATTTTGCATTTCCGGTGCATGATGTTATTCATCCAATAGATGTTGGGTGAACAATGACAAAAAGTGACTCGTAAAATGATCAGGCAAACATACAGGAAGGTACAATTAAAGAACTCTATAAATGTGAGAGTATTTAGGATTTGCTAAACTACAGCATTTTACACAGTATAATCTACTTCAGTTTGCTTCCTCTTCGCAGCATCAAAATGCACCTGTGCCCAGAATATAGACATTAGAAAATTCACAGTAAATACTCATAACAAGCTATGAAAAAGCTTGAAAGTAAAACCATCCTTGACCTCTCTATCTGCATGTACTGTGAAGCAACTATCCTCAAAGATCACAAAAGAGAATTTCAGTCAGTTTCCTAAAGCACATTGTGTTTGTTTACATTAGTCGGCTGGCAGGCTGTCAAGATTCTGATCTCCATAGTAATGTGGAGAGGGATTTGGATTGCAATTCCTCTGTTGTGAACTCTGAAGAATAATTTGTCCACAGCACCTATAACTACAGAGGTAAATGAGGCTGTGTTTTAAAAGTGCTTTTACTGCTTGTTAAAAACATGCTAATATTTTAATGTGCATATTTTGGGGACAGTTTCGCTCTAATAGAATATTATAATGTTTTGATAGAAATAATTATTCATTTATTTGTATAAACAAAGAGTATGGGCACTCCATCCTCTTTTTAAATCTTTTTAAAACTAAAAAACCCCCAAAAAAAACTTAAACAAGGTTAATCCTTCAACCATATGCTTGTAGAAAAAATGAACTTATACTTGCTCGCATCAGTTCATTAGCATCCCCAGTATGAGAATTCAGGCTTTTCTTTTTCATAAATTACTCATATTGTCCTACTGACAAGCACAAAGGAGGCACTCTTCCAAGCAGTAGTGCTCTAAAAATTGAAGAGCATAGATTCAGTTACATATGTATCTTTGCTGCCTTTGTCTGATTAAGTATAGTGCAATACCCTTTTGAAAGCGCTAATATCAAAAGTGACAGTGTGTGTCTCTTTCCCTTTGTAAATCGGTAAAATAAAAGAATATTATAGCTAGAATAAAGAATAAGAAATTTTCATTAAGGATGTAGCTGCGGGCTGCAAATTGTTGACTCCAACCCTGAATTTAATGTCTTACAGTGTATCATGGATAGCATAATGAATAGCGAGATGATGTCTTAATACCTGAAATATCTCTAAAACAAGAAAGAAAAAAGAGTTTTAACACATATTGGTAATGTATTGAACCCATTATTGTAAAAAAGAAAATCTAAACTCTCAGGACATATTTGAGTAACAGAACCAAGCTACCATGGCTACCCCAGGCTGCGTTTTCATTGCCTCTTTCTTATGTGTATTATACAGCTCTACTTATTCTACCCTAGGCATATAGACTTCCCTCATAGACTTTGAACACTGCAGCTGATGTTAAAAAACAAAGAATGTGCTTCTAATTTCTAACTCAGGACTCCTGAAGGTAAGCTAAAGAAAGGCATAAGTACTTTCACAAAAAGGTCACAAACAGAGATTTCCAGACGTGTGATTATGATAGCTAATCTGACCACAATGTAAAGACAACATCTTTCCTTGCTGTTTATCTTCTAGGTAGCACTTTTTATATTAATCTAATATAAGAGAGCATCTGAGAAAACCTAGACTATATTACCATACTCATAGTTCAGAAAATTATAAATCCTGTGAATTGTGACCCTTAGAATGATAACTAGAGAATGATAAATATAATACTATTTTTATAATGATGAGGAGTACATTTACATCAGATATATTTCAGTAATTCAGTCTGTCCTTTTCGAGAACAGAGTTACCAAAAGAATGTTTTCATAGAAACAGTTTTTTTTTTTCCTGCATAAGCTTATCCACATTTCAACTACTTTTTAAATGTTAAATAGTTTTAGGTATTCAATTTCAGTCTCTATGCAAGGTGTAACATTATTTAAAGGCGTGTATTCCCTGCCATTCTGCATGACCTAGTTTTAGCACAAGGCTTTCTTGTGAAGCTCAAGGAAGAAAAATCTGAGCTGACCTACCTATGTATTATTATTACTTCCAAACATAATTAAAAAATAAAATAAAAAATACATATTAATCGATTATGATCTTCTGCTGTGTAGATTACTAATTATCTCTATTAGCTTTTTCTCAGCTAATAGATTTATATTCAGTATCAGAAATGTTCAACCTGGCTGTTATGTTAACATATTTTTAACATCAGATGATCCTAAATGACGTATAAAAATTCAGTAAAAGAGCATTTTGTTTCTTTTTTTAATCTGGAAAGGCACAAGGGCCTTTATGTAATGAGAGCTTCAAACTGTTAATGGGAATTATTTGATCATGCAAACTACATTAGGAAATCTGCTGAGGCTTTTAAAGCTGTATTTTAGCTTGGCTTTTGTAATTGCAGCAAGATAAACAATTAGCATTCATTGCACCCTCTGCTAGACCTGATCTGGATCCAAGAAGTAAATTGAAAGTAATTTGATCTACTATTTGCTCAAATAATAGTTAAACAAATTTTGGAGCCTCTATTATTTCATTGAATTCAATCTGGGTAGTCAGAACATTCTAAATGTCACAAAATACAAAAGTTGCTTTGCATACTTTATCAACGCCTGGTTACTTTCCAAATAGACAACAATATCTTGAGAGTACTTGGTATAATGCCATAATTAAATACATTATTTTTTTCCCTGGCAGAATGCTTAAGTTGTTTAATATTTATCTCAATGTATTGAAAGTGTAATTGCACCATTGGATGGACATACACCCTGCCACATATGTGACATCAGGTTGTAAAGTACAATTTTGATTTACCAACAACTACATAATGAGAGGGGTGTCTACCCAACTGAATAATATGAATGGATTGTTTAGGTAGGCCCTTAAACAAAAGTGATGATTATTACATAATAGGGTAGCCTAACAGCTGCTCCTTTATGGCCACTGCAGTTTTCCCTTATGATTAAATTTCTTGTAAAGGCTGAACGTTTTTTATCTCCATGCATAAAAAACAAAGAGTGTGCTTCTAATTGCATAAAGGTTAAAAAAGCTGTGTGCAGAAGCCCCCCAGCCCCTCATAATACTTACCTGAGCCCCATCTCAATCCAGCAAAGGGCACAAGAGTGGCAGCTCTCACGGGTCTCTCCCTTCTCATTGGCTGAGACACCACTGTCAATCACAGCCAGTGAGCCAATGAGAGAGAGTGAGGGAGCAGCGAGGCTCAGCAGTGCTTCATATATAAATGGACACACAGAGCAGTGGCTCTGGAGTAAGTCTACTTGGGTACACCGCTAGCAAGCTGCTTGCTATGGGGCACTGAGCAGGAGGGAGGGGCCAGGGGCAGGGAATCCGAGAAGAGGAGGTTTGGGGCTGCTCTGTGCAAAACCACTGCACAGATCAGGTAAGTACAACATGTTTTTTATTTTAAAAAAATACGCCTTTAATACCACTTTAATATTTAGCCAGTTGTTAATTGTTAAAGATTAACCCCTCCTGGCCCTTTAAAGAGCTTCTGACACCCGGCAGTGGGGCGTGGTTTAGGATCACATGACTGCCATGATTGGCCATCTTTGCGGGCCTGTGTCAGTGGGCTTTTGTTTATTCAAACACATTTTGCACTCCCATACAAATCTACAGTAATACAAAACCCATCTTGAATCAGGTCAAATGTAGATCAGAAAGAGGTCATATGCAGCTCAAATGCACCTTTTAATGAATTTTGAATGATTTCAGAATCATTTCAAACTGAGGTCAGAATGCGATT